AATCAAATGATGGGGAAGACACTACATTGGAAAGATAGATCGTTTGCTAGTTTAGAGAGCTGGCCTGGGTTTGACAGTCAAGAGTCTACATGGTTGAAGTGAATGGAGAATAGTAACAATTAGTCAGATATTTAATTTGGCTATATATGCATCTTCACTCTCTCCATACCTCCCTCCACCACACATGCATCTGCCTCAAATATAGCTTAGGTATCCAATTTTAACCGAAATCACTAAGACAGCTTGTAATTTTCAATCTGGGAGATGGTCAAAGCCTCAGCTTAAATTTGAAGATGTAGAAAAATGCCTTCATCTTTAATTTTTAAATTCTGCTCAATCCTTGATTTTCTGAATAGGTGAAAGAATGTGGTGGCTTCAGGTTAGTGTGTGTTTAGAATTTGTGTGTGCATGTAAATCATAGTTGACACAAATGTGAGGTTTCTGAATATTTTGAAAATTTAGTAATATAAATAGTAAAACTAGCATAAAGTTCGCTCTGACTCTTCTAGACATCCAGACTGTTTTGGAGAGGACATTAGTGGAGCTGTTGGTAGGTAGCAGGAATCATGTACATAAATGGAAGTGATGTTGATGGGAAGCCTCAGGTACCACCAAACTTCAAAGGGAGCCACTGTGTACCCTAAAGGATTGACTACCTCTCCTTGCATTTATCCTATTTGGAATAATGAGTAAAATGCTTGAAATATATAAAAAGTACTACCCATGCAAATAACTATTTGTTAAAATATGGCTTTTGTTTAGGCTAATTTCAGTAAGAAAAGTAATATCCTTATTTCTGTCAGTCTTAGGATGTGGAAAATTTCTCATGCATACACCCTTCCCTGAGTAGTAAGATGGACATTGAGTTTAATTTATTGATAGAATGAGGGAATGAGCCCAAGTTAGCCTCATCTCCTCTTAAAACAATGAATCCTTAAATTAAGAGCCTGATGGAAAATAAATTGACTGAAGCAGTAGGAGGCTTAGCATGGCCATGGTGGGCATCAGACTATTTGAATGATGATGACAAGTTTTCCTCTCATGACTGCATGGGTTGACATGTTGACATTTCCATTAGTCTGAAGAAGTTTCTTGCTGTCACTACAGAACATGTTAACAGCTAAGACCCAGGTGATCATGCCTAGAATGTCCTCTCTGACATGTTACAGTGTGTATGGAGGTGGGGACATCATATTGCTTGGGTTTGGCCCCTTCAACAAGGAATACAGAGGCAAGAAGAACCAATAGACAGAAGATGACTCAAGAATAGACAATGAGGCCAAAGCAAAGCACAGACAAGATGATTGTGGGGTCCATGGAACACATTCCTATATTAGCACAACTGTCGCATGAACACAAAAGGTGCTGGTCTAACAGACTGAAATGTTAGTCTGCTGAGCAACACTCCCAGGTCTCCACAGAGTGGCATTTTTATTGCAGTATTTCATTCATGGAAAATGAACAAAACTTTAAATAAATCACAATTACTTATTGCTTAGTATTTTGGATAAGTAATTCTTTAGTTTATCAGTACCCCCACGGCTTTCAAATGTGCATTCTTCAAATAGTTTCAGTTACATATACATTCTTTCTCCTGAACAATAAATTATATTCTTTTTTTAAAAAAAGAAAAAGATACATAATTTTAAAGTGAAGAAAAACAAAACAAAAAACATATTTTTTTGACATTTACCTTAAACTTATATGAAAACAACTCTATGTTAGGTGCTTAAATATAAATAATAAAGGACATTATGTTATTTACAATGTTACACAGTAAGTTGAAAGAGTAAAAATCTGACATTAACTCATAAAGACAGTAAATGATTTAGGAAAACATCTAAGTAATGTACAGGGTGTATTTACAAAAGAATATATAATAGAACGTGTGATATGTGGCCATTTCCCTTTGTTTGCATTTGTCTGCAGTGTTTTGTGGGCCTTTGTAGATAGAAATCTCATCTCTGTGGCTGGTGGAACACAGCCAGGGCTAAATGATAAAACCAGCCTTTCTTATTTTCACCATTGTGAGCTGTGCCCCTTTTAACTCCAGGCCATAAAAAAAAAGTAATAACTACTGAGCAAGTTACCCTGGATAAACTCCACCTGTATCAAGAAAGTCACACTTAGACAAGGAAGATACAGCATGTTGGTGTCGGAAACACATTCACATACCCCCTTGTAGAGTTAGTTTGTAGAAAGCATGAGGCCGTCCAAGTACTCTTGGAAAAAAGTCATACCAGGCAAGAAAGGAGAGTAGGATAGTAAAGGAATCTCGAGTGAGAAAAAGAAGTTTGCATATACTATGTTCCACTGCATACCCCTCAGTAGGATATGATTTCTAGGTGGCAGAGTAGCTGTGGAACTTCTGGGCGATTACCCAAAAACCCACAGAAGCTTTTCATCTACTGGGAACATAGGTTCACCCTCCTTTGGATGGCCACAAACTGCCTGAGTTTATAAATGGGGTGGTTGGTTGAGAGCCACGTGGCAGTTAAACATCATAGAGATATCCCTGTGAACACAAATCTGGTGGCCGCAGCAGGTAGCCCTGAGGAGTCAGATGGCCTTTCTTATCAAGGGAAGCTCTTGTTTTACAGGTAATGCTGTCCCGAATAATACTCCCTCTGTGAGTGACTAGAATCAAGTTGGAAAGAAACTTTCCTTTTAGCCTAAGTTTTCATATATTTTTGTAACCTGAAAATTTACAACAATATTCATATTGTTCATTGCTCTCAATAGATTTTATTTATTCTTGAAATTATTCAGAATGAGACATGTGAGTACTCCTAAGTAAGTCTGTAGAATTTGAAACAAAAGTTGTAGTTTTAATTCATGATAGGAATTTTTTTATTGAAATAGTCTAAGACTGACTCAAAGGCAATATTAGAATAACTTATAGAACCTCTTTGGGTTGACTGTCTTCTTTCTCCTGCTGCGAGTTTACTCATTTCTACAGATCTGGGAAATCAGTGCAACTTCTGCAGCCTGACAGGGGCCTTTCCGTATAGATTAACAAGCTGATGAGGGCACTGCTGAGCACAGAGGACGTGGTATGTGAACAATGAAGGGCAGCTTGGGATATCAAATACTCAGAGTAACTTCAAAGACTTGCAGACAGGGATCTCTGTGGACTGTGGAAACATGTAGGAGGTCAATGACATGACTCATACCCAGCCTGCATTTTTCTCCTAAGACCTACTTGCATGTTTCTTCTCCCCTTTGCCTTTAACATAGAAATTTGGTGAAGTAATAGGTTCAGTTCACCTGTCCACAAGAAGCAGTTACTCTCCTTGACTTCATGCCTGGTATTTTGAACCCCTTGCTAACTTGTTTCCCATTTTGTCACATGGCTCCCAGGAGTCTACTTGAAACCTCAGTAAAGCTTCAGCCAGATTCGGCAGGAATCAGGCAGGTCATAAATTGGGGACCTGCAATTTTTACAAGAAGCTATTATTTTCCTGAATTAGCAGTTCTTTCGAATGTTAATACCTATAGGCCTTCCTTGGATTTACAATCCCAAGAGAACATGCAACGTTTAGACCCATCCTAGTCCTGTTCTGTGAGAGTAAAGCAAAAACAAAAGAGGAAATGGGTGAGGCAGGCTGCGAAGCAAGAGGTCAGTACACAGGAGAGGGTTGTGTTTCCGCAGGGCAAGGTGCAATCTTTCCAACACTATCGGCCTTGCCTGAGGAAGCATCGCTCTCAGAAGGTTCTTACTAGTCACAAATCACGTGCATGTTGGCCATTCCTGACAAAAATGTTCATGCATAGTCATGACCTAATCGAGGCAACATTGGAAAGCAAGAGAAAACTAATGAAGAGAAAGGAGTGGTCAACAAAACTGTTTAAAATTGCAACCCATGCCACACAGCTGCCCTTCTTCACCTTTGTCTTCTATCAGTCCCTCCTTCTGGACACTCTATTTCCCTACAACAGCCAGTCACCACTAGGGACAGCAGGCATGTTTCCCTCTAGGCATTTCAGACAAGTGCTGAGTGTGCTATTGGAGCTGGGGTGTTTGTGCCATAGCATGTCTGTTTCCTGCCAAGAAGACAGAATCAATCACTAGCTCCCAAATCAGTGAAAAAGACAAGTCAGGAATGATTGCACCTTGTCCAGCCCTGGTCTGATCTTCAACTAGATGTGTTGTTGAGTCATTCCCCCAGAGAGAAAGTGACATTGAGTCCTCTGATAAGGTGTTAGTCTTACCCTGATAGCAAACCAGAACCCATTCTTCTCTGCTACCCTTCAAACTGTTGCTTTTTGGTCAAGAAAAAGTAAATTGAAATAAAATAAGTGATAGCTCCTCTTAGTGAGAGCAAGCTGTGTTCTGATGAATAATATATGTGTGTGTGTGTGTTTTTTAAATCACAATATTACTTTCTTCATAATAGTTAACATTACTTAATGCAGTTTCCTGCTGTAATTAATAGTAACATGCTGTTGGATCTACTATTATCTCAGAGCCCAGTGAAGCAAACCTTTGGCTGGCAGAGTAGACACGACTCATTTCATAGACTGAATGCAAAAGAAAACTTCGTACAGAAGAGAAGAGTATTTGGATGGATGTGCCATTACAAGACGTACTGATTGGGTGCTACTGTAAGCAAACGAAGGAACAGTTGCAAGTCTTGCAAATCATACATCCAGTCAACATCATAATGCAATGCACAAGAAGCCAGCGAAAACGGAATACATGGGAGGTTTTGCTGAAATACTGTGGAAAAGCAATCACGGTAACGGTACAAAACTTGCTCTCGACATAACATAACATAAAGGCACCATTGATATCTTTCTCATTTGGAAATACTGTAAAAAATTGCTACATATGGCACATAACACATTTTTACATACATATATTTAATTTATAAAAGATTTTTTTCTCCTGTTTTCTATTTGCAGAACTGCTAAAATAAAATAAATTGTTTAATTTAAGGTGGAATACTTTATTATATAAAATAAAGTTTTACAGGTGTATCTATGTGTTTATTTAGGTTTTATACAGCGATAGGGTCTTGGTTAGCAATTACACTAGACAGCCTGGCCTGCAGATCCTCCTGTGTCGAGAAGCGGCCCGCTGGGTTAGTCCTGCTCTCGGCCAGGCGGAAGGCAGGGGCTGCCTCAAGACTGGCTGCCAGGGGGTTCTGTATGCCCAGGAAAGGGGTGGCTTCACCTACTCTTTCATCTTCTGTCTCGCTCTCTGAGTTACTGATCTCAGCGCTTGTGTTGCTGTCCATTTCCAACCTGTTGGCAATGTGGCCATTGGGCTTGGTTCTTTTGGCCCGTCGGCTATTGGTGAGTTTCTTAACAGGCTCCTGAGCTGGCTCGTACTCCTGGGTTGTCTCATACTCCTCATCCTCCACTATCCTCAAGGGGCTAGGGGGCAGGCTGCTGCTCTCATGCGCGGGGTTGTGGTGGAAGGAGTTGAATTGCTGAGGGTGGTGGTCATACTTCTCCCGCAGCCGTGGTGGTGTCACCAGAAGCAGAGGTCTCTCTTCTTCCACAGAGGGGCTGACTGCCATCGAGGGCATGGACACCGTCGTGCTGGACACAGGTGCAGACATTTCCGAAGGGGGCGATTTGGGGGAGCTTGGCGTGTGGAAATCTACAGGTGACATACGAGCCGGGGTGGTCATTGCTGACACAAACCTGTGTGAGCACAGAATACCCCGTATAAGTGTGGTGGCATAAGAGGAGTCATAGAGTAGGGAGGGTAAGGGGAGAGAGTTCACGATATTATATAATCAAGAGACAAGGAATTTCTGTTCATCGTATGCTTCTTGATTTTTATACTAGGACAGTCAGTACCCTTGGAATCTAAAATTATGTAGCCAAGAGTTTCCTTACAGGAGTACATACATGCACAGATCAGCTACATGGCCTAGCTAATCAAAGCTTTAAGGATTTTCAATCTTATCATGATTTTAAATAAAGGCATGAGTCAAGGTCAGAGGGCACGAGGTCCTGGAAACCTGTCAGTTTGTAAGGACCAAGGCTGAGGGATTTGTAAAGGAAAGAAGTATTACTGAAATACTATACCTTCCTAAAGGCCAAGGGGTCTTAGAGAATGAAGCCCAAATGGGGAATGGAGGAAGATCTAAGATGAGTTGCTGAGAGCTGGATCTGCATGCATTTGGATCTGTGTGCCTTGTTTCTCCTTAGCTCAGCTATAAGGTTATGTCTTATGAAAAAAAAAGAGCATAGTGACTTAGATTTATTCCTGATAACAGTGTAACATATTTGTGTGCTTTAAATTTTTCCATGAAATGCTACTTTTAAACATTCAGTTTGCAACTATCCATCCCAGTGACCAAGACATCCAAAGGTAACTTGAGAGAACCTTACATTAGCTTCACATACCTGTGTTCAATCTTTGGTCTATCTTTCTTCCAAAATTTAGAGCTGCATCAGTCTTTGGCTTATCTTTGTGACTGCTCAAGGTCTGCTGTATCATATTACCTTTTGTCATGTTATGGCTGATAATGCTCACTGAATCTTCTTGTCAAGACACTGAGTGCAATGTTTTTACCATATCATGCTTTACTCCACCCCTGACGTGGCACTGAAAAAGATGTGACTTTTGAGAGTCACATTTCTCAGCTTCTGATAAAAATGTTACCAATGCTTAGCACTAAATGATTCTTTTCTTCACATTGGTGTTCTCAGAGTTTAATTTGACATAACCTGTGATGACACAGGACAGCGCCATCTGAACATTAGTTAACAGGAACCTATTAACTTTCCTGCTTTCAGCCATGATTCAGAGTTATATGGATGTGAGATCTAGCTGTGTCTAAAATGAGAGAGTGTTTAGAGGTTGAAATATTTGGGGCCAGAATCTTCAGACTTTTGCTTTATGAATACTTAAATTAAGCTCTCTGAGAAATGCCAATTCAAATTCAACCAAACACATAAAAGTGATTTATCTTTTTCTCTCCAGGATCTCTAGGTTCAGGTATATATAGCAGTCCTAGAGACTATCTGGGATACTCAAGGAAGCCTACCACCGTAAGGAAATGTCATTCTTTAAAAATAAATGTCACATGTGGTGAGAAAGAATTTATCTCTAACCTCTTTTCAGGTTTCAAAAAAGAATAGATAGACTTTTTAAGTACATAAATGTATAAACAGAATAGACTTTTTTTAAGTTTATAAATGTATAGTTATATGTATATCTAAGAGTTATGCTTTAAACCAATTTTGGACAATATACCTTATTTTTCATTCATGAAAGAACAACCTTTAATTCCATAAAGCTTTGAAATACCATTTTGAGATATTTCATAGAAAGGCCATTCAATAGCAGGTTCTATATGATCTATAAGCTCAAAACTGATCCTCTTTTGTTTTAAGTACTTCCCAAGCCAAGAGTAGAAAAAGTCTACCAAACTATTTCCACCCACATAAATACCGAATACATATTTAACATTATGTAAAGCTTTGAACAAATAGTCAAATATTAGACTGAGATGACACAGTAAACAAACAGACAAAACCCTACTGGATTTGAAAACAAACAAGTGACAGCTTACTAGAAATGCTGGTTGGGTATAACTCTCTCCCAGTTTAGGTGAAAATGGATAAAGAGAATCTATAAATTTAGTATTCCTATTAAGCATCTCTTTCAGTTTACTTTCCTCTGTTCTTTATTTTACCTTTGTTATAATTCCCCAGCCCAGTCCAATGCCCCCAGATAAAAAGCCAAAACATTCTGGAATAAAGGGCCACATGAGAGGCAATATCTACTTTGAAAACCAACTGTGAAGACTGTCAGACGCAGCATATAAAAGATTTATTTATTCATCCCTTCTTGGAATTTCATAAAAGGGATAATCTATGGTGGAACGCAAGCAATTGTTCCCCATGAGAGTCAGCAGTGACATAGCCCTTGATTTGGTTTAACTGAGGCTGGATGGTAAGTCGAGTTAGCACATGGAGAACATGAGGTCAGTTCGACCAGAGTTTGGATAACTGGCAAATTGGAATTCTAGAAGGGTCCTTATCAATCACTGGTGTCATCTCTCTAAAGTGATAACTGAGGAAACAGATCCTGAGTGGGGCTGAGCCTAAGGCCAGACCTAGGAACTCCAAGTTGGCTGCACCTTCCACATCAAATCACTCCAGCTCGTTAAGAGTCTGTTGCCTGTCGGCCACTGGGACGAGGTGAGAAGCTCAGAAGAAATGAGTTCAGTCACACAGAAAGATGACTTCATCAACTAGGAGCACTCCTAGAACAGGCAACTGCTGCCCCTTATTCTCATTAGAGCAGATTTCCTTAGGTGAGACCGCAGGTGCTCATGGGGATTCGCTTACTGGGGTTCTTTCTCCTCTGCGGTAGCTTTGCCCTTCAGTTTTACCTTTCGCTATGAGGAGAGTCTCGGAAGGAGTCAGGGGTTTCTCTGGCATGCCTGAGGAAGCTGTTACATTCACGAGGGCCTCCCATGCCATTAAGACGTCCTCTTGGGCCCCCCGTTGGGCTGCTGTGCCTACTGTTTTCTACAGATGACATCATGATTACAGAGTGGCTTTCAGAAATGATGCTTTCGGTGTGTCCGTTGCTCCAGCTGGAGGGGAAATGTGAAATGCAGAGATTTTTTTTTTTTAGAAAATTATGTGCAAAAATGGAAATGAAGAGAATGATCAAACAAATATTTCAAATTATCCATGAATCAATAGTTCACTATAACATTCTATTCTCCCAATAGAATTGTTATAAAGATACTTGCTATAGAAAGGATCTTGATTTAGATTGGTTTTGTAAGAACCAGGTTAGTCATGTGTTCACTCATTCAACACATTTATCAAATAGTGTTCTTTTAATCATTCTGATCTTGACATCTTGGGTTAAGGAAACACTTGCCCAAAGTGAGCTACATTTGGAAGTCTAGCGTTGCCTTTGGTTGCACTAGTGCTGCACTCAGATATTGGTCACCAGGGCATTTTCTAATTTAGGGTTCACCTATTTAATCAATTTCTCATGTGTATTTCTCAGGACAATTCAATCAATGGGAGAAGCCAACTTCTAAGTATTATATAGCATCTAAGACAGAGTTTTCCCAGCATAGCAATTCAGTGAGTGGCTGGGCAAGAGTAAAGACAATCTCTGAAATAGGGAACAACTCTTGAGGTAGGTATCATTTCCCCTTGTTTGATGATGAAAAAAATTAAGGTTCAAATTTAAACAGCAATTACATGGCAGAGCTAGTGGATGTCCCAATTCTGTTTTGTTCCCAACCATATGTTTAACTATACTGCACTGCCCCATACGTGTGTCCTGTGCCTTTCTTAGGCAATGACAGCTCAAGGACATTTATAAATATTCATTCTGGAAGAAACCACACAATGGTTTTTCTCTCATACCTGTGACTCGGAGTCTGGGTGACGGTAGTGGAATGATGAGTTGTCGAGGTATAGTGACTGGTGGAAAAAGATGTCTCCACTTCTCTTTCGACAATATGCTCACTAGAGATGACATTTTTAGATACGTATTGCTGGATAAACAAAGAGACACAACTTGAAGATTCATATAAGTAAAAACATTAACACTCTCACACACAAAAATCTGTTCTAGTACACATAATAAAAAAAAATTTCTTCATAATAAATTTATTTTATCCAATGTCCAGATTAAAAAAAAACAAAACTATTTTGGTTACTGCAGCCTTTAGATTCAGTGAATGAAGTTAATAAGTTACTGCTCATTGTCTATTTTTTTAGTTTGTTTCCAGTTGATAACATGACTAGAATTCAGAAAAAATCTTTGTCCAATATTCATTTTGTATCATGGTTGTTACAAAAGAAAGAAGAATTTGTTTAAAGTCTCTATATTTTGGATCTACCTCTGTTTTACAATTTCCTAGTGCCCACATTGCTCAAATGATACCACTGGAATTTTTAAGTTGCCAGTAGTAAAAGTAGCAAGGCTGCTGAGAGATGGGAAGGATATATAGAAGTTGTTAAGGTCATACATCTTGAGAAAGCATATACAACATAGAGGATCCATATGCAATGCAAGTACATTTTATTTAATTTTCATCACCAAATCATAGTAGCTATTAACTGCCTTCTCAGCAGGAGAGGCACATTCTGAAGTTGTTTTTAAATGCTATTTGTATTTACACCAAATGAAGGTAAATAGAGGATGAGGCATGAAAAAGAATACCCTCAGATGAAATAGGGCTTTGTAATCTGATGGGCCGTGAGTGCTAAAACAACCTGATATATTCATGGAAACTCCAAAAAGTGTAATATGAATTATTCTTGGAGTCCTAACTGGTTATCTTGGAGGAAAGGCTATTCCATGTGGAATCCCTGGGACGTGCGGCTAGCTGGCTTTAAGGAAAAGATGGTGGTGTCCACATAATGTGCTACTTTCAGTCTGTGTACCATTTCACTCTTGCTTCTGGAAGGCAGTGTAACTTAGTGTATCTAATGAACATAATATTTAACACTTACTCAACACTCATTAAATGCCACTGGGCTAAGTGTTTTGTGTAGGTTCTCTTATTTAATGCTAGCAAGGACATCCTGATGTAGGTATCATTTTTAGGCCTGTTTCCATGATGAACAAATAGGGTTTAGAAAGGTTAAAGCCTAAAGTCACACAGTGTGTGAGCTATGAATGGAATCCAGGCAGTCATTCCGCTTCCTACGTCTTGTAACATTCTTAGTGACAGCTTACAGGGCTATCTGCAGTGAGTGCATTGATCGACCATGCACAACATTCTAATGAGTACTGATGGGGGTGGAAAGCAGCAAAGCATGCTCATGTATTTGCACCTTCCTCTGCCAGTCTCCTGTGGGTCTCCACTACAAGACTTACTGATGGTTTAGTAACCACCCTCTCTGAACTTGGGTCCATGATATATTTGCTCCACACCAAATATACCTTTTCCTACAGAATAGAAAATGGTAGTGCAAGAGAATCTTCAACCTTTGCTTATAAAAAGTCAAAAATCAGAGAGAAATGAAGAAAACAGGAAGAATGATGGTGGAATCGGACTAGAAAGAGCAATACTTCTAAAGCTGGGGAAACTGAGTCCAGCTCTGGCCCTTCTCTGGAGGTTTGAAGGTGATATCAAAAGACTTTGCAGAATCTAATATTCTATGATTCAGTTATGTTTCAAAGCCTGGTAAATTTTAAACAAAGGGCTTGAGTGGTTAAGGGTAGGTTTCGTCAGGAGGGTGTGGCTTCACGTGGACAGAATCAGGGAATAGGAAGGCAAATATTCCAGTTTTGCTGAGAAGCAAGTTTGATAAGTCACTTGCCCTTTCCCTGTGCTAATTTCTTCCTCTGTAAATCAGAATCCGCAAAGCATCAGGCACGGTGAAGCCTCTCATAAAATCACTCTGCAGCCCTTTGCTCCGTTCTCAATGCTAATCAGTTATAGGCCGGAGCGGCCTTCATTTCCAAATTAGAAAAATAAAACATTTCCTTCGGATTCTTGCATCATCAATTTTCTAATTTTCCTTTGTGTTTTTCTTTTCTTTCTTCCAGCCACAGCCTCCCCGCAGAACAAACCCAACTTTATTATTATTCCAACCCCTTAATGAATACTTTAGAAGAGGAAATGTGCTGGTTTTACAGTAACCAAATCCACTTTAAAAAATGTCCCCATTATTTTCTCCTGGCAAAACCTTGGATTCCTGGAAGCTGTGGAGATTAATGGCAGCAGCTAAGAGCCTAAGAGCTTTTGAACATAAACTTCCAGGTGCCTGGAACAGAGGGGAGATGCTCAGCGAATCCATAGGCCGGAGCCAACCTACATTGACCAGCTGGACGTTCTCGGAAGGCGGGTTGGGGTGGTGAGGCCCATTGGCGATGTTGACCATGTTATTTCGCTCGGACCGAAGACTCTGCCGAAGCCGGTCGTGAAGCTTTTTCCGCTGTTTCCTGCGCATGGAAAAGGGAGCATTTACTTTTTTCCTATTGCTTACATTTCTTATTTCAGTCAATTCCTTATTTCGCCAACACAGAACCCGGGCAGTGGCTTGGTGGTGAGGGAGGGGGGAGGAAGGGTGTGCCATTTCATCTTAGAATCTGCCTGTGAATCTACACATTCTCTTAACAAATAGGTGTGAGAAGCTGAATGGACTTCTTACAGAAATGAGACTGGACTGCAGAGAGAGAAGACAGAAAGAGGAGGAAATGGGATAAGTCAGGTGGATATTTAGCTGAAATCCCATCTTCACCAACCCAGCCACCTGTGCCTCGGTCTTACAGGTGGTCATTTCTCTTAGGGAACAACTTGCGCTGGGCAATTGATAAAGCCGATTTCATCTTGGCCTGTAGAATTCACAGTTAGTTTTGAATCTGCGCATTTTCCGTGGTGTGTGTGCATTCATGGTGCTGTACATGAGTGAAAACGTGCCTATTTTGCCTGTAGACTTGGGCACAATTGTAACAGGATCGTACTCTAGGACTTTTGTTTCTTATAACTAGGTATTAAATATCTAAAAAGACTCTTAAGGGAAGATGTTAAGGGCGGGGGGTGAGGGGGGCAGAAGAAGGACCTATGTAATACTTTCAAAAATAAAGATTTAAAATAAAATAAATAAATAGCTCTTAAGGTGACTCCATGAAGGCTTCTCTCAGTCGCTTACTCAATCCTGGCACCCAGTTCTGGGGTTTTAGGAAAACACCATCTATACCCTGGATTTTAGGGTATAAAAGCACTGTCTTCATTCCTCAACACAACATTCAGATCATAATAATATCCCCTTGACTCGCTTTGGCAAGAACATGTATGTGATGAAGCCACAAGACTTGAAGTGGAGGTCATATGTCAGAAAGTGGAGGGAATTTGTGTCACAAAGTGATTACATTTGTGAATATGGACCTCGTTTAAAGGACCAAAAACAGTGAACACAAATCTATTCTAATGTTTTCCCTTTTGTTCTTTCAAAGCAAGTTTCACTTGCGTTTCCTCTCAGAAGATCCCTTTTGTGCATCGCACACTCCTGAGCATCTGAGCTGGAAACTTCATGGGACAGGATTAAAGAAATAATCAGGATAATGCTCAGAAAATGGCAACTCAAATGCCACCAAGCGTTTCCTTTAGCTTCTAAAGGTAATTGCAAACTGGACGTGTCCCCAGCAGTGTTTAACAAGTGCACTTCTTGCCCCCACCACCCTCCTCTCACGCGCGCGTGCGCGCGCGCGCACACACACACACACACACACACACACACACGCACACATGTGGGCCCCAGTCAAGCTTGACCATCCAACCAACCCTCTCTCTGGTCAGAGGGCTGTGGTCACTCATCAGAAATCTTCTCAACATTTCCATGCCAATAGGCAGTGCTTTCTAAGTATGTGGTTAGGAAAGGTGCTCAAATAGATGATTCAGAAAAAAAAAAAAAAAAAAAAAAAAAAAAAACTAAGGGGAAAAGCCTCTCCATAGGGCCCCTCCCCTCCCACCCATTCAGGTTGTGGAGGTAGGTTTCTGCCAGGCCTTGCGGGCTGCCCTGTGTGGCGGGAAGGAGCGGCGCGGAGGAGGAAGGTTTACTTGGTTTTGCAGTAGGCCACCACACACATGATGCCGACCACCAGCAGGGCGATGCAGATGCCAGTGATGGTCAACACCCTCTTCTGGTAGAGCTCCTCTGCTTCTGGAAAGGGATGAGAGCAGACGTCACCAAAGGCCCCTGACCCTTGCCAGGGTTTACAAGCAAACAGTTGGCATGCTACATGGCACTATCCATGGTCACAAGAAATAAATATGTGACAATTCATTACTATTGCAGACATACTTAAGGTACAGTATCACACTGTTCTACACTGTGAGTATAAAACGGCAATTTACAATAAAAAACAGTATGCCATAATATTTTCATTATACTTATTTTAATTATAAGCATTGATACATATGTATTAAACTAGCGAATCATAAACATTGATTATAAGATAACCATTTGGTTAAAACTGTACTTTTTATTTACTTATTTTTAATATCTTGCAAACATCTCTTGCAAAGACAACAGGAATCAATGCCAATGAAAGGAGCTGGGTTTGATATCACTGGGACCCTCCTGTCTTCCCTTCTTTCTCTACCCCCAGTCCCTTTTGATTTCCCAGCTATTGTATATTCCAGTGGTCTTTACAAAGAACCATTTATAAATGAATGAAATAAACTCAAAGACATCTGCAAACATGAGCTTGGCTTGTAGTGAGCAACCCAATTGGGGCAGGATCCCTATTATTTCACAGTTAAATGTGAATATAAGCCAGAGGATATAAGACACTGTCTCAGAGAAAATCCAATCTGGTGGCTAAGACAGTCCTGGGCCAAGGTGAAGGCTGCTCTTTGGAGGACAATTATTATTACATCACCAATTGCACTTAGAGAACTCATCTCTCTGTATAAAGGAATAACTAACACAAATAATATACATTCCTGCATTGACCAACATGGCAAATTAGCTAATGTAGATAACACCAAGGAGGTGTGATAGTTAGAATTTTGAAGTAAAGGTACTATTGTACCCCAAATGCAACCAGTCTCTTACGCATGTAAGTCTTTCTATTTCCAAATCAATTTTTGGGGGGCAGACAATTTGATTCTATGGTAGATCAGGTTCTTAACAAGATGGGCTGATGTAATGGTGAACCTGATTCCTTAGGAGCTGAACTTCCAACCATTCTAATTACACTTATTGGAAGAGAGTGTGCAGGTCACTGAGAAAGAGAACTCAACCAGCGCATAACAAGCAGGGTCAGTTGTGCTTGGTTTTCTGATTAATAAGCTGGTCAAGTTCTGGGGGATATTATACAAATGAAAGCCTCTTATCTGGACATCAACACGGGCCTTCTGAACATTTCCAGTTGACATTCTTAGTCTCGGTGACCACACCTCTCTTCTCTATTGAAAGAGAGCAATTTGCAGGAAGTTTCCTTGAAGTGAAAAAGTGCATTTTAATTTCTGCGACATGGTGGGCCTTATCATTATACAAAACATTTCCTACAAGCCAAGCCCACGGTAATCAAATTCCAGTTAACAGGTCAGGAACATTTGTCAAATCAAATTAATAGAGCACTGATTATTAACAGGAGGAGGAGGAGGAGAACAGAAGTCAGTGGGTAAAAGACTAGAATGCCGCAGAGATTAGACAAAAACAAACCAGAAGGGTTGGAAGTGGGAAGGAAAAACAAACCGAGGAGGACAGACAGATTGACAGAATGACTGAGAGAGGGAGGCAGTCAGGGTCAAGGCAAAACAAGGTTAGAAGTGGAGGAGTCATCTGAAGTCCCTGGCCCAGCATGCCTGACACTAAGGGAGGAAAAAGAAACAAATAAAAGAAAACCAGAGGGAGGAGGAAATGCTCAGGGAGGAAGCAAAGGTGGATGCAAAGGTGGAAGGGTTACCCCATACAGCATAACTCCTAACCTAGGCTGACCAGCACAGGGAAGCCACGATTAGGAAGCCAAGCAGCTGGTGCACTGCGGTGCGACAATGAACCAGGAGTCATAGGAGTGCTGCCACATTTTGTTGTGCTGCAGAAGTCAAGTGAGGAGTGGAATGTGAATGCTTACGTGTTAATTGCTTGTGTCTACTGCCTCTCCTCCCCCATAGCCACAGGACAGGGAATTCCATTTTATGGGGTGCTAATCTGTGAGCCAGGGCAACTGGAGCCTCCTCCCTGACCTGGCATCCAGATCAGCATTCAGCATCTATGCCAAGAAGCAGAGGCAGCACCTCCCTGCTGGTCCTCCTAGGGACCCAGGACAAGGAGCAAGGCTCCTTTGGTTACTGCTAGCTGGGTAAGAAATCGCAGTGTACGAGTATTATTGCCAAGAAAATGACGACCCTGCCTTCTGTGTCCTTTTTCATTCCCTTTATTTTTTTCTTCTTTTAAACTAGGAAGGGGCTTGGTTGTGTTGACATCTTCACTTTGTATCTGTAGGAACACTGGAAAATTGTTTCTGCAAACTAAAAAAAAAAAAAAAAAAAAAAAAAATGGGCTCTATCCAAGGACTAAAAGAAGACCAAGCATCACGTGTACTCTCAGGGATTCTCTTGCCCAAGTTTTTGATTGTTAATAATAAAAGAGTAGATGGACCTGGGTTTGTGACTACATGGCATTCTTCCTATGCTCTGTAGGAAGCCACGCATTTCCCTGTGAGATCAGTCATGGCAATGAAAGGGCAGCACAGTAAAGGCCAAGGGGAAAAGCAAAAGTGCTAAGATGAACCAGTGAAAGCCAAGGCCCAGAGAACAGAGACGTGGGACTAGGATTCCGTATTCACTTCAGCACTTATTGACTGCCTTACATGTTTTCTCCTCTGTTTCTGTTGGATTTTCCAATGATTTCCTAGATCAGATGGCCCCCACAAAATGAATATGTTAAGAGAAAAATACTCCATGAAAAAATCATATAAATACCCCACCCCCCTTTTTTTCTCCTTATTTTTTTTTTCTCCTAGTGTAATGGGGTCAATAGGGCAACAGTAAATTAGAGGCAGTGCTGAAAATGAGGAGCCCTTGGTCCAATTGGCAGCTCTGCCGTAATGGATGGAAATGCTGCTGAGACTCTGCTCTTTGGTTTGGCTGGACATTCAAGGGAATCAGATTGAGCATGCTTTTCAGTAGGATCTGGCCAGGCCAAGAGACAGAGGCCTTGTCTTTCTCAATTTAATTGACCTTTAAGATCTGACTTTCCTTAAGGATAGACTGGTCTGGTCTTGGGACTGTGGAGTCTTTATTAACTCTTAAGAGCTTACTTACTAAAGGCAAAGTGGTATATCTGAACTACCCTTACCTTACTGCATTGCTCAGAAATGGGAATAATAAATTCTATAGTCAGACTCTAGTGTGATAAAGTACTTAAGATGCTGTTAGGGAGAAGAAGGGAGGTGATGGTGGAATGCTCTTCCTCCACGCAGGAAAGGCCAATAAGCCTTTTCAGAAGTAAGTGGGTCAATTTTACCACAAGGGCAGTAACCCATATAGGTAACTCCCCTCATGTAGGCGACCTGCTACTCAAGTGCCATTGGTAGGCCCTCTCTTGCCTCTCACTTTTGGGAGGTGTTCTCTGATGTTCAAAGATCACATATAAATGTGTGTGTGTGGGGGGAGGGGTTTCCTCATTAAATGGTTTTTCTCTTAGAAGATTTTTGGAGGAAGGGACAATTAATTGGGTTTCTATTCCTGCACCTGGTGGAGCCTGCGAAAGCCTGGTTTCCCACAAATACTGAAAAGTGTATTAGCTGTCAAATGTGAGGTTGTCAGCCAAAATGAAAGAGCAGTTGGAGGGTGCCCTCCCTGCATGATGTCACTGACACCATGGATGGGAGGAGATATCCTGGTAATCAGGACACTGTTGGCCCATTACCATTCCAGGGTTGTGTGCAGTGTCCATGAAGCCTGGTGCCTGTGCAGTGGAGCCTCTGGGAAGGCAGCATGGCTTCCCCTCCTCCCAAGACTGGCCCTTTCTACCAACTCTCCAGGAAGAAAGCCTCCAGAAGGAGCATGCTCCAAATTCATATGCTCCTAGGAGGTATTTGATGTTTACAGTATCTGATTACTTGTCTGGATAATCTTAGTGACTCAAGTTTAATTCCATTAGCACTAGAATTTCCACCTAAAATAGCACAAGGCTTCTATCTTTCTGTTTTCTATTTCCTTGCTCAGGAGATAATGAAGCTGACTAGAGTCATGCTTGAATAGCTCCAGAAAATCAGAGCAATTCATGTCTGTCCATATCATATTGTTTTGCAATGTAAGGGTTTTCCGTTACTTTATTGCATATGATTTTTATATTGTATGTCAAACTCCCATCAGTCTAAGATGTGGTGTTTTTTAGGGCGAATTATTTAATACTTCTATGGTTCCCAGGGCTCTGGCTTGGTACCTCCTGTAGCTTTGTGTATCATTCCAACTTACCCCAGCTCTTAAAACAACAGCATGGCCAGATCCAATCAGTGGATCAAAGAACGTGGGATGTATGTGAATTTGCAGGAGGTGAGGTGATTTTTGAACTCTAAGTGAAACTTGGGAATCTAAAAGCTGCTGTGCTCAGTAACATTTTGGGTAGACTAATCATAGGTTGAAAGTAGAAAAATCATTTTAGTTATAGCTGTATGATCCCTTCTAAAGGAAAAGGAAATTAGTTAGGAACTGAAAGGTAAGAGAAGGGAGGGAAAAAGATTACAGCTCATAGGCTCTACATTCTGCAGGCTAAAAGGAATGATGATTGGTCCATACCCATAAATTCAATCCCAAGATGCTCTGCCAATGCAGAAAGTTGACAAAAAAAAAAAAAAAAAAAAAGAAAGAAAGGGAAAAAGTTTCAGAAAAGAGCAATACACTGCACTCCAAAAAACACATTACACATGACTACTACGGCTCTCTGTGCGTGCACACTGAACAGGACAAATGGTGGTTGTTAGTGAAGCAGTGCTCAGGTATGCCTCCAGGAGTCCACAAAAGGAACTTCTCTTTTAAGGGGTGTGCAAATATCAGCACACTGTGACTTTATTAACCCTTAAAGAACCTCACTGAGGGAGAAGTTGTATAGCTAAACTATCTATCTTCTATGCTCCAGCTCCCATGTTGTTTAGGAATAGAAATACCATACTTATAATTACAAAAGACATTTGGCATTATTTCATTCCTGTCTTTTTAAAAGGTAGAGGCAAAGTTCCACGTAGACAGAACGATTGGTTCATTTTATTACTCCCTCAAGTAACAGAGAGCCAATTAGGCGATCACTCCACAGTGCTGAGGTCTGATGCCCAGCTGCCAGCCAACAGGCACTGGCATCCAGAGGACCAGAGGACAGGCCAGGAAGGGAACTTAGAGGTATGAGCCCTCAGCCTGCACTCCGGAAGAGGTGTCTGGAGTGCAGGCCTGGCGGGACCTGTATGGACTTGAATGGATAAAAGGGGGACTTAGGCAAAGAAGCAAATAGCCCTAGAAATAACACTTTCCATCCTTGAAACAAAACTGATTGATCAAATCCCACCAGATGGGGCCCTTCAGGAGTGCACAGTGTGGTGGTGAGGCAGGGCCAGAATGAAGACAGAGGTCAGGAGTCTACATTCCTCCCTTGGATCCCTGATTAGAGAGGCACCAGGGCGGTCTGCCAATATGACAAAGCACCTCTTAAGTTTGAAACCATGTGGCCCAGGGGGATTTCTCTTACAAAGCCATCAGTTTGTATCTGGACAAAGCGCCCCCTACAGAGAGGTTAGAGTAGGAGCTAAGAGAGCTGGAGTCTTCCTGGTATCAGGACCTGCCTCTGCTATTTGCCTGCTCAGTGACTTTGGACTAGTTCATTTCTCAGACACATGCCTCACAGGGTGAGCCTATGGAGTAAAGAAGCCCTGAAATGGGTCGGCAGGTGGCCAAAGGGTTTAACAGCTTGGAGAACATTCTCCTCTGGATGTCCCCCTTGGGCCGGATGCTGCATGGAAGTTTACTTTTGACTAATTTCATAGCCAGGAAAACTCTGAAAGCTCCTGGGACACTTCAAGAATTTAGACTTTAACAACTCGCCACCTCTTAAGAAAATGAGCTTTTACAGATTAAAAAATAAAATAAAATAGTTCATTGAGTTACAGTGATAAAGAAAGGCACCAGATATAATAGGGAATCCCTCTGCCTGGGGTCCAGGGTACTCAAGCAAATAACTAAATTTTTCATAAATTAAAAACCAGAGGAAATAGGGTTGATTTGGCTGCACAATGTTCACAGCAAAACAAATGTATTCAAATCAAAATAAATGTCTCTTGCCTTTGTGCAACTATTTGACAAATGGACTTTTATTTTTTCCTTCAACTTGTTCCCTTCATGTAAACTTTGGAATGCCAGGCATTGAAATTTCATGTTTGGAGGAAGTGATAATAAATTTCCTTACACATTTTCATGAGGAGGTGACTCAAAATTTCTCTCTACAACTCCCTCCACCTCTTGCCTTTTCCTCTTACCAGTCAGTAACAATTTAAGGGTTAAAAAATCAAGAAATATCTACAGAAACTCTTCCCAGATAATCATTACTCCATGCCTACGTGAACACTGCTAATGATCCGTATTAGGTGCATAGAAAGCTTGGTTAAGTCTTCAATAAAATTAGTAGCATGCCCATGCATACATATTACTGCATTTACATTTATAGGTAAGTCTGTGAGCCTAACTATAATTTCATTTCACGGGAAGTCATTCATATCAGGCAGCTCCAATTTCAAATAATTCAAAGGGAAATTGGTACTTAAAATTGGAATCTCTTCTGGCCATAAGCCCTAACAAGGAAACAAGCAGAGGAAACATGCATCAGTCATTCTAGACCTGGAGCACACACTCCCGTAATTTATTTTTACTATCAGTGGCTACGTTTCTTTCTTGTGAGTCAAGAAAAGCATAATACACAAACACTTTTCATTTCATAAAGAGGTTATTACTTTCTATCTATGCTACTTAATCTAATGTTGGCTTGGACTCATTATGCATCATACGCTTCCTATTGAATGTCTGCCTAGCCACTCCATTTTTCAAATTAAATTAATAATTCAAAAACACACTGGTTACTGTAAACAATTCTGTTTCCTTTTCTACATGTGATTTCTTGCTGTGCAGTAAGCAATATAAAAATTTAATTTAAATCCGAGAATCTTCAGAAACTATTAAATATTGACTCACTAATCCTTTGCTTTATAAAGGATTTTATAATTGTTTGAAGAAAACTGATTAACCTGGAGGTTAATTTAAATTTTCTATTTCATTAGTGAAATGAACAGTGAAATAGAAAAAACTTTCTTTTGCCAAAGTTACCTGTTCATTCGGGATTTTATTAACATCCTGGGTCTCTTTATGGAAATAATCTCAGAGACTTGCGTATAATCTTGCTTTTCTGCAGCTCTGAAGTTTCTAAAGAGTTCTGTCAATGTCAATTCTAAACGGGACCAATTTTAGGTTTGATTTTTAATTTTCAACTTACCTTTACAAATGTAATAGGAGACTCTCTCCTTACTCCGGTTTCCATGCACACAAGAGCACACTCACAAACACACAGCAAAATCGCACTACACTTGGAGGGAATTGGTGATAATTTTGTTGGAGATTGAGTGTGCCTTTATTCTACTGTTAGCAAGATACATGTTTGATAAATGAATGAATAACTTCAGTTTTTAAAGATTTAGGAATCAACGTAAGTAATTTGTGCAGTAGTAACCTATGACTCAAAACGACTTTTAAGGATATCTGCTAAGTTTACTCATTCTGAGAATAGGCCTAAAAGTTCTAAAACTGCACTATTTAAAAATATTCTATAGTTTGGGCTATTCTGTAATTACTTCTTATTGTATGTTAGTTTATATATGACATACTTGCCCCATATTTCCTCTAACTATTGAAGCCTTCAATGCCACCCCTTCCCCATAAAGTCTATAAATTGATTATGGATTGCCTGCACACACACACACACACACACACACACACACACACACACAGATGAACACAATCCTTTGAAGTAGGAAGTGTGTTCATAGGTCAAATTTGAAGCTGACTAGCCTTAGCAATATTTTTCTAGGAAGCACTATAAATATATTTTATTTAAAGGGACATGGCTTCCTTCACAAAAGCCATATTAAATAAACATTTGTTCCATTCTTTTTATAATTTAAATCAGTTTTGATAAATCAATAAAAGGCCTCATAGGAAACTCTGACCAGAAAAGTTGCATCAAATCCTAATAATGTAATTTATGTGTTAATAAGCATTATAAAAGTTGGACATTCTTTTAGAATATTATTTTTCCATTGGAAATGTGGTTTGGCACATTATTAAAAAAAACAGTTCTCTTTAAAGCTAGGGAATATCTTTTCTTTTAAAATTTATGTTCTGTGTTTCAGATTTTAGGAACACTAACAAGTACATTTTAAACATTACCACTGTGGCTATGTTTTTTATTCTTTGTGCAGCCTTCATTGCTACTGAACATAAAGTTCTTAGAACAGCAAACATCTATTTTCCTGCCTTCTCTGGGGGAGTGTGCAGAAATAAACACTGAGAATTTACGACATGGAGGTTAGAAAATTAACTCGAGGCTAGGCAAGTTTGGGAAGTGGTTTCTGATCAGAGGGCCTTGCTTTTCTGGGCATGAGGCAGCACTGAGGCACAGTCATCGCAGATTCTGCTCATAAATGTGCTTCAGATCGATCTTTGTTAAATCAGGTTAAATGGGAATGCTGCTTTCCTGGATGTCTTCCAAAAGCTCACGGAAGAATTTGTTCAAGGAGTCACATTTTGATTAAATACACAGCGTGGCTCTCTTTAAATAATATCTTAGGAAAGAAAATGCTCTCAAAGAGAAGTTGAGAGTATTTTCCCTGGTTATAACTGTCAAGTCCAATGGCATTATTATTTTTAGCAAGATCTTCATTTGTAATGCTTTTCTCTATGCAGTGGCCCAATATTGCCTTCAGTGCACAACAAAATTACATGACACCGAAACTTTTAGTATAATGCAAATGTTCAGAATTTTCATTAAATTATAAAATATAATTTCATTGTATTTATACAGTTACATGGACTTGCTAAATCTATATTGTTTGAATACCAACACATAATTTCTAAAAGGATTGGCTTTAATATATAAATTATCTTATTTCTATTTTCACTTTTCATCTTACCTACTTTTGAAAAATTAATCTATAGCTATGGAGAGAAAAATTATGTTCACTAAATGTATACGATTTTAAGATTTGCCAATAAAGTAAAGATTGCATTTGAAAACTTAGTGATATCAATTTACCAATTTTTATAGCAGGAAATGGCCAAAAATAATTGATATGAAGCCCATGTAAACATATAATTAATACCATTTCACTCAATAAATGATTCAATATTATGAGTCTAATCTCCCCCTGATGCAAGGGGAATTTATTTTTCAATCGCACTTATTATTATTCTAGGACTGTTAACCTGAGGGACTGACTCTTATTCGCTGCGTGTATTTGAATAAGGATAAATCCATTCTTTTAGGACCCCCAAATGACCAGCTTCTGTCACTGTTTCTTGTGTCACATCAACTTACACTGCAATGAGCTATGTGTAATATTCAGGGTGAGCAACTGACACTCTAAATCAGAGGTGGACAAATCCAGCCCACCGCCTGTTATTTATAAATAAAGTTTTAATAGTATAGAACCATGCTAATTATTTTATGCACTGTCTATGGCTGCTTTTGTGTCACAATGGTAGAGTTAAGTCAGTATTTACTGTCTGATCCCTTACAGAAAAAAAAAAAAAACAACAATTGTCAACCTTTGATCTAAATGGATAGCTTCATGGAATCCATGTTAAATACAATACTTTGGAAGCCGCAGAATTAAAAGCTATAGTCTCAATTCACAATAGAATGACAAGTATTACATAGTTCAGTTATTGATGCCATTATATGCAACATGAATTTCATTGTTTAAGAATGATGCTCAAGAAGCTAGAGGAACCCACTAACATTTCTCATTTCTGCATTAAATAAAATATTATCTTAGCCCAACCAGTGTGGGTCAGTGGTTGAGCATTGACCTATGAACCAGGAGGTCACAGTTTGATTCCCAGTCACAGCACATATCCAAGTTGTGGGCTCAATCTTCAATGGGGGGCATGCAGAAGGCAGCCGGTCAATTATCCTCTCTCATCATTGACATTTCTATCTCTCTTTCCCTCTCCCTTCTTCTCTGAAATCAATAAAAATGTATTTTTAAAAAAGAAGTGAACTGTTATATTTCAAAGTAAATAATATTTAAAAATCTATTTTGCCTTAAAATTACCATTTAAACTAGCAATAAAGATATACTAACATAAACAAATGATCATTTAAACTAGATCTGAATCACTTGTTTCCTAAGCAACATAAATAGAAGCCAGGCTCTCTCATTTGCTGTGAAATGTTTGTTTATTATTAATTTTCCTACTCAGTGCTTTTTTTTTTTTTCTAATACCTAAATGCAAACTGCTGGTTAATGAAGAAAAACATATGAACTCTTTTTATTATGTTTATTCGTTATAAATACATTCTGAAACCAAATTTAACTTACCATCATTTCAAGTGCATACTGGTTACAACTTAGCAACATCTTTCTCAGGATGTTGTCATTTTATAAAGAAAATGGACTGTTCAGTGGAATGCTTTTATTTTATCAATAAAAGTGAGACTTTTCAATGCCTTTATTATAAACGCACTGCTTGATATTGACTATTACTGTATATCACATTATCAAATCTCAATTTCAGAAACATTGGGAGCCTCACACACCTATTCGGTTCTCAGAGCAACTAGCCATGAACAGAGGAAGTAATACAATCGCTTTTGTTAATGGTCTCATGCGACAGGCAGAGGCAGTCAATGTTAGACCTGGTCACACACATCTAGCTCTAGGTGAAATCTGAGGGGAGATGCAGCAACAAGAAAGCAGCACCGACTGAGCATGCTCCTATTCAGGCAGAGACAGAAAGGGAGTGGACGTACTGTAGAAGCTGGCCATTACGTAGTTTTGGCAACGATCACCAGTAAACTCATTTGGGCACCTGAGAGAAGAAACAAAAAACAATGGTAGAAAAAAACAGAGAAAAAGAGAAGAGGTGAATATATGCTAGAAAGAAGCTCCTTCAGTGTCATTTGACCGAACTTGGTGAGTTCACTCTCAGGAACGGAGTCTTTGTCCTAATCATGGTTTTCAGACTCTGGTGTTTTCCCCAAAGGGTGAGAAATCTGGACCAAATGCAGTCCTCGCGTTTGTATGACAGAAAGATCCCAGTATTTTAAGTGACTTCTTTCTTTCAAAGGGAGCCACTTAAAATGAAAACATCATTTCAGTTTTCCATTTGATAACTTCTGTCACACATTTGGAAGGACAATTTTATTTGGTTGGCCTGCCTGCGATGGTTGCCAGCATCACTGGCCACTCTGGTGGGTCATTCTTTTAAACTGATTATCTTTGAGCCCATGTTGTGAGATAGCTGAAGAAGGTCAGATTCAATGGTGTATGCCCCGAGTGGTGAAACCATAATTCGAACAAAAGGAATCCGTTACAACTGAGCTGTAATAACACCAAGTGGTAGTGCTTGTTGCTGTAGTTTGGGGGGAAAAACAAATTTCAGATTATTTTAACATACTTTCTTGGTTTTGGACTTTCATGGGCACATTCTCAGTACATCTTGCTCCAGTGAATCCAGGTTGGCACCTAGAGGGCAAAAATGTGATAAGCAATAGAACGCTAAGGACATTGAACTTTCAGACTGGCATTTTTCCTCCTACGGAATATGGAGATTCCTACAAATGACCTGGTGACTGAACAACATAAAGAAAATAAGAGACAAAACACTTAGAAAACCATGTACCATGAAAACTGTGGGGTATATACTTTTGTTGTTATTGAAATGCTTCATTCTTCGTAGATTAATGAAATTTAACTAGAGGGAGGTTGGAAAGTTGAATGGGGCTGGCAAGATCTGGGCAGCTAACTCATTTTCCCTTTGGCATTTCCTTATTTGCCACCGATCCTTGACTCTTCCTATATTAATAAGAGTAACCATTTTGTAAGGAATATAAATATCTAATCACTATTTTACACCTGAAACTAATATAATATTTTATTGCCAACTGTCATTGAAAATAACTTAAAAAACAAACAAACTAGTTTTGGTGAGAGCTTACATAGCTCCACCCATAACCTTCAATTATTTAAATCAATCTGAGCTTTTACTTTTATAAATACTCAATTTTGCACTTATTTTATAGTTTTTTTTTTTTAATGTTATAAGTTAAGTCATCAAACTGCACTGGAAATCAAGCACTTTCATACCCTAATGATTACTGACAAGAGAAATGAAATTCCCTGTATTTTTAAACAAATATATTACAAATTAGGTCTCATTTTTAATGTTGAAAGAGAAAGAGGCCCAGTTTTATTAGAACAAATTTCATTTAATGCAATTATACCAAATACAAATGCATTTTAAACACTTAAACATTAAAACTTCTACGGTAGTACTTCATGTCATTTTGCTTTTGAGATAAAACTATTTGAAAATTATATAAAAATTAAATTTTATTCACTCACATATATTCACCTGTCAGAATTCTAGAATTGATAAACCATTGTTCTTATAGTGGGGCTATTGTCCCTAAATATGGAAGTCCTTTACAACTACTCTTATTGTGTTGTTATTCCAGTAACGAAAGCATTTCAGATTGAATTCACTTTACCCACTATCATGCTCTAATAAGAATAGGCATTCCTTAAGCTCTAGTGTTACTAGAACCTTTAAAAGATTCTAAGAAGCAAATATACTTAGAGATGCTCAACACCCATGGCCATCATTATTACTAATAATTTATCTAAACGATGAACATCATGCAAAGCACCTAATGCAATTGAGTTCTGATAGCACATGCCTTATAATTTATACACAACCCTTTCTTCTCCAGAGTAACTAAGAGTAAACACTATCTTTTGGCATCAAAGAGAAGTGAACAAAACTATTGATTTTTACTAGACAAGGGTGATTTTTAAAATTTGCCTTGAAGTCAAATTAAATGCCAAAAAATGTTATCACGTGATTTGGCACATCTGATTCTCCTACTTCATGAAGAATGGCATGAAAGATAAAATACTGGCAGTTCCAAACTTTCAGCCTTATATGTACCTGTGTAAACTTAAAGTATAAATGATCATTAACAATAATATCAATAAGCTTAACAACAAACACTTTGTATTGATTGATAGGGCCCTTTTGAGTCAATTTTATATAAATTAGCTGGTTATTTTTGGTTAGAATATTTTTGCTGCAAAAAATAGAGGAAGATCTACTGAGAAAAATATAGAAATAAAAACTATAACATTTGAGGCTGGGTTACTTCTCAAAAAGACATCACTCTACATGCTCCAGTAAGAATGTCTTCATAGATATAAAAAAAATGCATGGGAATCTACTTTCCATATAACATATTTAACATAATTTCCAAAGTATTTGGGGTTTTTATTCCTGTATATGTTTCTGAAACCAGTACTATAAATCCATAGAGACATACCCTGTAATTAAGCAAGTAATTTCAGAATTAAATATATTCTACAATGATTATTTCATCTTACCTGTTTGCTTTCTTGAAAAAATCTAAAATTCTAATATTATTCACACAATAATCCACTTTTTTCATACAAAGAACTTGGTATAAGATGTATGTTTGTATGTCTGTGTATGGAGGGGGGAAGAGAGAGAAAACGAATTATAACTTTTGAGGTCAGGAATTCATTTTTGAGTCCCTTAGGAGAAGGAATGTGCATTAGAAAATTGTCATGAATGCATCTTAGATGACAGTTTGAGATCAAAGGGCACAGAACAACTAGGTGAAGGGAATAAAAAAATTCACCCAATCAATTTTATAATGAGTATAAAATTCTATAATAATGTTTTCCAGGAAACTAGCATTATGGGATGGTGCTTTATCTCTATTATAAGATGATACAGAATATTTGGTATATAATACTAGAGCTTAAGGTATACTGATTCTTTTTGGAATTATCAGCTATGTCTGAGCCAGAACTATGCTTTTACTAATGTTGATCTTCACTCAGATATATTTTCCTAGTGTGAAGCCTTATTATTTTTCAGAGTGTGGTTCTTGGACCAAGAGCACCAGCATCTTCTGGTTCTTATTGGTGGAAATGCAGAATCCTAGGCCCTAGTCCAGAACTACTGAATAAGAGTTTGTATTTTAACAAGATCCCTCGTAGATCTTCATGTACAATAAAGAGTAAGGTGTCAGGGACCATGACCTTGAAAGATGAAGACTAAGCTGGCAGCATCCTAGCCCCATCACATTTTGGATGTGAGCAGCCAATGGGTTTCACTGGGTCTTAGTTTTTCTCAGGGATAAGATTAAGGGATTTAATTAAATGATTATCAAAGATTTCTTTTACCATAGCAGAACTGGGAATGGAAGCTCATCCTAGCACATGGAATCACTGTGCCAAAACCCCTACGTCATTTCTTTGGTATTCATTAGCAGTCAGAAAGGACTCAAGGACTTCTAAAAAAAATCTATTTTGATATAATAATTTTTAAGACAACCATGGAGGTAAAACCTCAAAAACTATTCCCAAGCAATTCAGGCATTCAGCAACAACAGTCATCGTGTAGTTTTTGTGGATACTAAGAGCTATTGCCAAATCAAATGGAAGGAAGTGGAAACTGATTTTCTGCATAAGCACACTGCAGACGGCATTGATTGTGTAGAAAAGTATGTGCAAAAATGAAAACTCATCTGCTCTATATGTCATGAATCAAATCTATGGGATTACTTCTTTTTTTTAAAAATATATTTTATTGATTTTGTACAGAGAGGAAGGGAGAGAGATAGAGAGTTAGAAACACCGATGAGAGAGAGTCATCGATCAGCTGCCTCTCGCACACCCCCTACTGGGGATATGCCCGCAACCAAGGTACATGCCCCTGACCGGAATCGAACCCGGGACCCTTCAGTCCCCAAGCCGACGCTCTATCCATTGAGCCAAACCGGTCCCGGCACTATGGGATTACTTCTAAAAGAACAGGGAGACTGTCTGCCTTCTGACTTATTGCTATATTAGCATTATATACTAAGCTTATAATCTATCACTTTCCTTAGAGATAAGAATACCATAAATTTAATCTGATTTTTAAAATATATATTTTATTGATTTTGTACAGAGAGGAAGGGAGAGAGATAGTTAGAAACATTGATGAGAGAGAGTCATCGATCAGCTGCCTCTTGCACACCCCCTACTGGGGACATGCCCACAACCAAGGAACATGCCCTTGCCCGGAATCGAACCCGGGTCCCTTCAGTCCCCAAGCTGATAGTCTATCCATTGAGCCATACAGGTCTCGGCTTAATCTGATTTTGAACAATATGCTTTGGAATGAGTCTGAGAAAATGCAAAGAACTTTCTTTCTTAGAAGAACCTAGTTGAATAACAATTAACCCTCTACTGTAGCTTCAAAAATACATATATCACGTGTTCCATTGATTAGATCAGAAGATGGAAAGACTGATTTTTTTTTTTTACTTGGTATTTTCTCATAATGTGATATGTGATCTTTTTTCTACACTTGTTCTTATTGAGATGAAAATTCACAGTTTGTCTAACATTAAGTATCACTTTATCTCTAATGCTTATTACAGTGCCTGGCTCATAAAAGGCTCTCATAAAAATATCTGTTAAACTGAACCTACTATAGGATCAGACTGAAGTGTTCAGTAAAAACTGTATCAAAGAGAATTTTATATAGTCAACTGATTTGCCAACTACAGGTTAATATTGAACTTTTATTTTTTTAGTTTATGATAGACCCCTAAGTAACTTTTTTATAGGGACTCCCAGTACCCTCTTCACAGACTTTCTCCCCCAAATAGAAATCTTTATATTGTGTTGGGAATTTGAAAAGACTCTATAACTCTTAAGTCTATTACCTCAAATTTAAACCCTGTTACTGAAATGCCAGTTTACTTAGGGTTTCATAAAACAGTATGATCTAGTAACCAA